GCACCTTCACAAAATATATAAACATATATTAATTATATATAAATTTATATAAATATATATAAATTAATATTTCTAAGACAACTGATGAGGGGTATTTGGCAATACTTGAAAGAGCCAAAAATTCAATTAATTAAAATAATATAAAATAAATTTTTGTTGTTGTTATTCACTACTGATCGAAAAACCTCTTTATATCAATTTTAATATATAATATAATTATTTAATTTAATTATATATTATTAAAATAAATATATTATTATTAACAAATATCCTTAGAAAGAAGGTAACGAAAATTCTTCGATTTGTTTTCAAATTGTCCTACTTTCCAGCAATGGAATATTTGAAACTGTTGCGATTTAAGGAAATAAACTCTAAGTTTATGCGATCTATGCATAATTTATTAATTAATTACCAGCTAAATACATGATTAATAGTGTTGAGTTATATTGTGCAGCCCTCTCTCATCTATTTTGTGGCTGACTTTGCTAGGATATGATTTAGAAAGGTTTGTTTGTGTTCTTGAGACTTGCCATACCTTACGGGAGTGTTTGCTAGTTGCTATGGGTATTCCATTTCTATTCCAAGGTATTTCTGAAACATTATAGCCGAAGGTATATTTCTATAAATGAGTTTACTAGTTGCTTTAAGTATCCCATTTCGAATGTATCCTTTTTCTGAACCTTGATTCATAGAAATATAGTCCTATTGTACAGTTTTCGCTTGACTTGTATGCTCGCTTGCTAGTTGCTACGGGTATTTCTTTTCTTTTTTGAAGTTTACTTAAGACATGTATGATAGAGGTGTAGTCCTATTACGTAGACTTTAACTACCTTATGGAAAGGTTTGAAATCTGATACGCGATTTCTCTTTATATTCTGTTGGTTATGTCTTTACAATTTTTTAACTTATTAGCAGAACATTTTTATATCCCTTGAAAATTTAACAATTTTAGTAGAGACGGTGGTAAATAAGACTTCATAAAAATTTGGGGTAACAAAATTGGTTTCCAAATTAAATTAATATGTATTATCTATTTACTTAATAAAATGAAGAAAAATGATCAAATAATAAATTTGAATAATTTTTTTCACTTAAGAGAAATCAAGTTTAGTATTGTGTGGATACAAATTGATTTGTGAAATCTTATAAACTATTATTCAGTGGTAGAAGAAAAGAATTTCTTTTTATTTTACCGAATATATTCCTTAACACTTTTGATGTGAAATCTTGAAAATAAATCACTGTTTATTTCACTTTTGTAGGGTAGAAATTTTTATTCAGTGCTCCATTTGTGTTTGCATAACCTTTTCAAAAACACCTATAAACGTGTGCAACTATTTCGGGGTGTGTGTTTAGCCTGATAAACCCTTACAAAGTTTTCACTTTCTTATGATTTATTTAAGTTATGAATCAATTTTATCGCAACTGCAGAAGTAACAAAAATAAGAAAAATTGCAGTCCACAAATAATGCGGTGCGAACGATTGTAGTACATAGTGGCAAAATTCCCGGAGTGTTTGCTATGAGTGTGTTCCTTTCCGCACTCAGGTGTACTCGTACGAGTACAAAGAGTTGAAAAAAGTGAAGTGTACACCCAGTTGAAAACGAAAGTAATGACATAGACTTCATCGTTGTTAATAATTTCAAAATAATTAAATATACGTGATTTCTTACGTTTAGTTTTTAGTAATTAAATAAAATTATTTAATAACAATCTGTTTTTTTACATTTTTCGTACTGTTAATGATGACTTCAGTAGTATTATTTATGAATCAGCAAAAGAAGGCAATATTGTTTTGTGAATAACTATATGGTATGAAGTCGAATAAGCTATAAATTGAATTCGTGTTCATTGATATTTAGAGCTATTCTATTCTCATCGAAGAATATTCTAAACCGTTTTGGACAGAACAATTTTGAATAACTATATGGAGTTGAATAAAATATAAATTGAATTTGTGTTCCTTGATATCTAAAGCCTTTTTATTCTCATCCAATAATATTCTAAGCCGTTTCGGAGTTATGAGCTGATATTTGTCATATACTTTACGGAAGCAAGAAAACAAATAAGTGAAGATTGCATTTTTTCCAAATAAATGTAAGACGTAGCATATCCATGGACGCTGACTTAATTGGATAAGTTTTAATGATATCAATTTCTGCAACTTCAATACACTTTATAAGAATGTATAATAATTTTAAAAAGTATTATTTATTATTTAAGTATATTACCGTAACAAATATTTTAATAACCCGATACGTCACCAGTACAATTTAAATTCTTCTTCCAGCAAACAGAATGTAAGAATAGTGTTTATTACGTTATTTATTCGTAATTTTTATTATGGGCACTACATTCGATGTCCAGTCATGACCAACTTCAATAAGCTCTCCCATCGATCGTGATAGCAAGCCGATATCATACAATTAGATATCTCTTTCAGCTAAGATATGATCTACCTCACTTAAATAAACATAAAATTTGACACAAAAAGTTTTTTGAATTGACTCCTTCTCACTTATACGACATACATGATCCTCCTACGGGAGTTTTCTCAGCTTTTCTTTGTTTATGTACAGCCTTATTTTAGAGGCAACTAAGATGAACGATTCTGGTACAACTGATTCTGATCTCCCCAAAGGGTTATTGTCGTTTACGTATGCCGATAACTGATTGAACGTCAAAGTATCGGATTGCTTTATCCGCATTTTTAAGAGGAGCATTATAACAACATGTTAAAGGTCATTAAAGATGTTGTTACGGATACAAATCCTTCATCCACATTTAGTTTTTACTTAACTAGATTAGAAAATAATTGTTTCAATTATGGTTTTAACTTTATTACTTAATATATATTATAATTTTAATATCCTTATAATTTTTGTTACTGGGTTACGTGCCCAAAACATTACAAGATTTCAACGCAACCTTCAATGTTTCTTTTTATAAAGTATGTGGAGCTTGCACAAGGATGCTAGCAAACGATAAAAATTAGTTTCAGAGCTGTTGGCAACGCTGGCATAATGTGCAACTTTAACTTCAAGGTGTTTTCCGAGTTATTTATTATGATTTATTTACAACGTGTTGTATGCTTTATTATAGTTTTTATGCAAAAAGATGTGTGTATACATTGTGGCCTTTTATGTGGTTTTATGAAAATGCTACTTATAATAGAAGAAAGAAAATAAAATTTCCTACCCCTTTCTTTTCTTATTCTAAGATTGATAAGCTTCACGCAATAGATTTTGACTTTTTTGGATCTGTGGTTGATAAAGAAAACAAAATATCCGTTCTTGCAGAATAATACATATTAATAAAAATTATATAAATTAAATTTATCATTACTTATTAAAATTGATTACAAAAATTACAAAAAAAAAGATAAATTGATAACTTTTATAATTAAAAACCAACCAGTGTGGCGTTCATCAAGTGGAAGTATTTGTTGCTGCGGTGGAGCTCTACGCTATATATACAGGAATCAAAACGAAACTGCATATTCACGGTCAAGTAGTCATTAAGGCAATAGTAGACTAGAGCACCTCTTCCAGAAACATATATTATTTCAATGAAATGAGTAACTCAGTAAGGCACGAAGCTCAATGTGTTTTGGGATAATTCTTTTAAAAGAGAGAGAGAGAGGAATTTGGTAATAGTTGTCTAAGGTCTAAGGTGGTTAGTAAATTTTTTTCGTCATACCTTTAATGCTTTTATTATTTATTTAAACCTGTTTAAATAAATAATCTGTTTAGTTTTAACACTTAGTTTAACACACTTTATAAATTGATTTTTTTCTAGTAATTTTAATTTTTATGTTATTATATTCGTAATAACTGTTTTTACGCCTTATATTATATATATGATATTCCCAATGCAATATGCATATCGTATATTTGGGTGCGTTACTATGGTAGATAAACTACCTCAGTTGCAGTAGTGCAACTTCATTATCTCTCAGTAATTTTATAAAGAAAATATCTATATACATACTTCAAATTTTTCTTTATTCATTATTGTTTGTAATTCATACTTTATTTTACAAAAACTTAAATGCAAATTTCTAGTACGTATCATATTATATTTTATAACTAAAATACATCACAAAGATATAGTAACATAAATTTCATATCAACAACTAAATAATAATATCAGTTTCATTTTTACGGGGCATATTTCTCCTGATTCAGTTTCTCTTTATCAGCATTAGATGTGTTCTCTTTAGGTGGAGGTTTTGGTAAACTCCAGTATTTCTAAACAAAATTAAAATGATCACTTATATGTTTGCAATAATATTTAGTTATCAAAAAGATTATTTGTAATGTGATGTGGTAATATATGTTACTTTTAGTTACTCATAAAAAATATTTTCAAAGAAAGTAATTATACAACATCCCACAAAAAACTAATCCTTTCAATTTAGATTCTGAATTTTCTAAGTTAAAAATATTTAATTATCTGAATTTATTATGCTCCATTAAATAGCAGCCTCACTTACATCGTGTCTGCCAAATAGGCGCGCCTCCTCCAATGTGTCTGGTAACTTTTTATGCAGCGTTTCTGGCAAAAATGACGCACCGATGGCGCCAATCAGGAATAACGTACCTAGAATGTAATAAGGACTACGTATATCAACTGTGGTGCCCAAATAAACAAGATACGGCGCCAAAACACCAATTGCATTAGCCAAAATTGTGCCAAGTGCAATGCCCGTTTGACGCATACAAGTTGGATAAATTTCCATGCACTGCAAACTGGCCGTAAAAAAGGTAACTGCATTTAGAAATTTTATAAAACTGGCTAAATACATAACGGTATCCTCATGAGATTTGTCTTAAAATTGAATAAAATTTTTCTTTTATTTAATAATTGAATTTGTTATTGACACATTGACTAACCTGTTATCAAATAAATTACTGGAATGCAAGTCAAGAAAGATACTAAAAACGATATGCAATTGGTAAAACGACGACCGAAATTGTCACCTGAAGTGGAGAATATATTTTAAATACATAGTTTAAATAAATAGTTTAAATAAATACACAAAAATTAGTATTAATAAAAGTGTTTTAGATTAACTATTTTTAGTTTCAAGCTTACCCAAATATTTGCCAATTAAATAAGCTGGTACTTCCACAATACTTTGCATTAAGAAATTTAAAAATGGGTTTCCACCCATACGTGAGCTAAAAAGTACCAGAGTGAAATAGGAGACTGCCACAACGCACCTAAAAATATAGAAATAATAAATTTATTAATTTAGACATTTCTAAGACCTATATTCATAGATGTTGTAGAAAAACTACATATACCTCATGTGTATATTGTATGCATTAAAAATACATTCATATCTTAGTCATATATAGGACATAAAGATTGATCCCATCAAAAAATACATAAAGGATAGAGCCCTGAAATTATTTGCGAAAACTGGCAGACTTACCAACACCGCGTAATCAAATCTTAGAATGGTTACAGTTTCCTCGGTGAGGTACGCAGATCTGAGGTCAATTATTGCTTAGTCTGATGAAGTGATAAACAATAATCTAGTCAAGGCGTAAAGAGGGGTTTTGAAAACACCTCGAGTTAAGAAAAAGTAACAGTGCTTAAGTGCACTGGCTCAAACAGCTTCAACAAAATAATAATAATCGTTTCAAGTTTGAATTAATTTTTTTCAATAGAGTAAATCAAAGTAGTAAATTTTGAACTCAACAAAAAATAAATACTTAAGTTTTATATACTAATTTATGTAGTACAGTATAACATGAATCAATTATTACAATATATATATATATATTAAAATATTAAAATATATTGTATATATTATTTTATACATTAAAATATTTAATTTTATTTCATATTATTAATTAATTATAATTATATATATTATTGAAATTATATATCTGCGGATTTGTTCAGAATATAATTTTAATAGTTTATATAAAAAATTTTGTGAGGTGTCAGAATATATTCGGATACTCTGAATTTGTGATACTCTGTGTATCACAAAATCTATACACGGTTTGTTTCCTACAATTAGATTACATGTGGATTAAATCAAAATTTGATCTCACCCATCGATATGTTTCCCAATCTTTTTATTATATATCACTTTTAAACTATCATCCGCTCTCCGTATCTACCTGATGTCGTATTATGCTAAAGGTAGTTTTCTGAAAAATATATTTCACAATAAAAGCAAAGCTTTTTGTCAATCTAAAAGCTACTAGCATGTCAGACGGTTCTATTCGCTTAAAAGTCATAAAAGCTTGATAGTATATTAGTGGAGAATCTATTTTACTGATGCAGTAAGTGGAATCGTTAACTCCATTTTTGATAAATAGTCACGGTTGCCACTTTTGGTACTTTAGTACCAAAATTGGTACTTTTCTTTTATTTTTTTTTCGTTTGGTACTCATGTTCAAAAACTGGTACATTTTTGACGACCCAACTTTATTGTGGATATTTCCAATTAATTTTTTTTATAAATGCAACTTTGCTCTATTTTATATTTTGTTCATTTATAACACTAGGAAAAACATAGAACGAGAAAACAAAAAGGTCCAAAAAAATTTTGGACCTCTTTTTACAGAAATGGTACCTTTTTAAACCAATTTTGGTACAGAAAAAAATTTTCAAGTGGCAGCCGTG